TACTGGACAAGCATTTTTGGGGAGTAAAAGTTTCTGATCATTTAAGTTTGCAGGATCTGAGACAGAAAAAGAGAAAATTCGGGTGTAATAGGGTAACAGAAGCATATAGGCTCGAAAATAAAGGAACTGGGTACAATGATAACAGCGGACAAATAGTCATTTTCGGACTACTCGCATACAGGTCTTGCGAGAGGCTTGAAAAAAATCCATCGAGAGAAGTATTACCCAGGGGAAAATAGCTAAATAGTTCTCGAAAAGGAACCATTAAGCTTTGAGAACACATGCACAGCAAGTCACCAAAACGCAAAATAACAGGTTGCCATGACAGTAGACAGCTCAGCTATATTAGTTCTGGTGCCTAGGCTTAGCATATCACGTGGATTACTGCAGTGACGCTTAACGGGCCGAGAAAAAGTACACAGACTCACTGTGAGTTTAAAACACATTTGAGAGCAGAAGCACGACAGTAAGCACGCATGCATAAGAGGTATGTTGAAAACCGGCCTTATTATTATCACTTGCTACTATTCTCCCGTATACAACATCCCTAGTAGGTAACAACTTTGAACCATATTATGACCGATATCCCGTTGGTTTCGTATCGCGCGAGCCTTTTATCAGTTAAAAATAGAAATACTTCATTATTACAGCCTACGCTACTATGTACTTACGTGTCATGAATAAGCTGTTTAATCCTACTAATATGACTTTGAAGATCTTTTGAAAAAAGAAACAGTTTCTAGGTGAGTTGTGGTTCTCCTATTTGCAGGTGTAATAAATCGCATAAAAATGAAGAAGGCTGGAAATACACACCCAAGGCTGGGTGTTACTATCAATAGTAAAGGCTGCTAAAGTATAATGTATTCTGTTACCAAAAACACCTCATACGCTGGTGTACAAACCAGTGGTGAGCCGGTAAAGACTTTGAGACCTGCGCTGACGTAAATAGATCGACTCGATTCAATCAAAGGTTAATAGGTCTCAGAGTTCGAATTCATTTGTAATAATAGGGAAAGAGGAAAAAAGTGATGCTTACATTACCTCAAACAGGTCAGCATAGGCTTCAGGCAGTTGATAGCCCCAGATTTCGAGAGGATAATCGAATGTGTTTGTCAGAGAAACCATCTTTTCGACAAATTGGCCCGGATATCCGCAGTAAAAAGACAGTTGTTTGTGGCTGAACCGGAGTGATCTAAGTTTATAAAGGGAACAAAATACTTCCGCCACTTTGCTTACTTTTTTAATAGGCGGGTAATGTTGGCCTCAAATTTTGGCTATTCTCTGACTAACAAAAACCTTTAAAGAATGTATCTAGATGAGAACAGCGATATTGGAAAGTAGTGATGATAAAACAAGGTGGACGTACGACATACCCTCGCAACACAGATGCAGTGTAAGGAATAACGATTGGCGGTTGTCCATCTGTTTCTACTTCTACGTTGCCTGAAAAATCGCCAAACCGGTCTACGACAGCCGCTGCAAGAGAGATGGAGGTCAAAAAGGCACAGACAGTGAGACGCCGCATACTCAAGAATAGACAGTAAAGTGTACGGCATAATCTTCCGATGGTGTGTTAAGTGAGACAGCTACTAGTGAATAGTAGACAATTTTAGTAAATAACAGGCACGTCCCCCAAAATGGCTGCAAAAATTCCAGCAGTATACAAATTCAGCTAAGTCAGGAAACAATTGAACACATGGAAATGAGAATCATAAAAAAAGACGGAAATGACCGATAGCAATGTGAAGTGAGTTTGTGTTTCACATACAAATCTGTAGTTGATCAGTTCACCACGCATGGCAGTGTCCAGTATGGTCTGTATAAATTTAATGCTAGGACATCTGCTTGACAGAAGGACCAAGGTGATTGGCAGTGGAGGAGAATCGAACACTGTGAAAAGCTCAAAAAAGGGATTCCGCGTAACAATAAAATATATTAGCCACAAATGAAATAGGGAACCATACCCATGTCAGAAGAGGTAACACAAGTGGGAGATTACATTCAACTTATGCCGCACAAATATAAAGTGAGACCAAATAATTTGAACAAAATTCACTGCAGTTTATTCAAATAATGGGTGAACAGTACATACGATCGAATGTGATTGTGGCGATCTCCTTCCCATAATTCGAACCGTCGGGAAAAACAACTGGATCGTAAGATATATCAAGATACTTCTTCCCACTCACCGCATTGATCTAAGCAAGGGAAAACTCAAAATAGAAAAAATACGGACTTAGAATTAAGCAAAAAAGTGAACCCACGGATAAGGCTGACGGAACAGACATTTGATTGAAAGCCGTGAGATGAAGCTGTCTAGGCGGATCGGAATGTATGGTACTACCAAAATCAAGGACTTCCTCCTGCACATTAAACAGATTCGCTAAAAAATCAGCATGAAAGAGGCGAACTTACAAGAGGTATCGAAGTGCAATTCAAATGGAACTAGAAAGACAGTGGGTTCGAAGGAGAACTGTCGCAAAAGAAAATTTGACGAGGAGTTCTTCGGCACTGCAGAATTGCTCGCCGATACATTCTCCAATGAAATAATTCCGGAAACAAAGCCTTTCAACGTCTGGGGAGCCGTGCTTGAAAGGGTTAAGGAACACAGGCCACTTCTCTGCTGACCCGCCAAAGTGATAGAATTCGGGACCTGCTGAAGATCTGCATTTTGTTGTGAGTCCCAAGAATTTTCCGCCGACAAAAATAATACCTGACTTTCGTCATTCTGTGAGTCGTTAGAGGCACTCAGATTTAGCTTTGATACCTAAAATTAACAAAAAGACAAACATATGCAGTTCATTGAAAATGAAGAAGGGGAACATTAAAATAAGGTAAGGTTTTACCTCAATTGGAAATGGATGAGGATTTGAAAATCTGAAAGTAAACCGATGCTTTGCAGAAAGACTGAGGCGATTTGCCTTCAGTGGACGCAAGCCATATCTACTTGGCGTGGAGAACCCATACACCTAGGTACTGAAAAACAAAAAAATGACCTACTTTGCACTTGGCCAGTCCGGAACTTGTTGTGACGTATAGTTCAGCCTCTATGGGTCCTAACTTGTTAGCAACTAAAAGTAAAGTAATGGTTGTAGCTTGTTGTGGTTCAAGTACCTATAATTATCATGTTATTCGGGGCTAGTTTAACGTACTGCAACATTTATCGGTTCGAATAGCAGCGTAAACGATGATGTTTGAATTGATATGAGGTGCAAAGATTGATTTGGAGATGTGTTTGTTATGGTAACATCCGCATAAGCAGGCGTCCCCATTTCCCTAGTACATAAGTATAAAGACAAGTAAACTAACTGATGACTGAAATTAACATAATTAGGTGTGAATTGCAAATTTAAAACACCATCTGTTTCGTTCACTATGTTGCCCGAAGAGCCAAATGGGTGTGTAACATTTGACGAGATGTCATCAGGCAAAGAAGTACCGCCCTAAACAGAAATGAGTATAGTCGATAAGAAACTACCCAGTAGACCACTCCGCTTATGTGAACGCTGTACACCCCACTGCGAGAAGCTATGATGTGAATTTAAAGGAAAAACTGAATTACCTGTATCATCTTGCTGCGCACTTTGCATGAGGGCATTCACGGCCCACAGAATGACTAAACAAGTCCAGTAATGCATAATAGTTCCACGGCTTGGCATGCTTTCTAAATATACACCTTAATAATAAAAATGACAAAGTAGCATACCAGAATGGTTAAGTCAAAACTAGGACAGGGATGAAGTATAAATCAATAGCAGACTTTTCAAAGAATCTGGAAAATATGAAGAAGACTTTGGTGAAGAAAAAACCATGCGAGACTTAGGAGTAAATATAAGTACAAAGTATACGTCAAAAACTGAAGAAATGCGGTATCTGAGACCACTATGACCACGCCGGATTCCCGCGCGTTAGTATTATTCCAAAGGAGTGCACCTATCAACAATCACACAATATGATGATTGGTTATACCCACAGACACTTAATATCTGCACTTCCATTGGGTGGCACGGCCATAAAACAAAGGTCAAATTAAGTAATAAAAAGGCCTATGGGCTCCAGAAGCGAGACTAAAGATTTACAAATTCGAGAGGAGAAACATTCAAGGGCGATAGCACATGCAATACCGAAAGTAAATCGTATTTAACAATTTCTGTGACTTGCAGATGACAAAGCAAAACATTCTAAAGTAATTTTTTTAAACCCGCCCAGAATATTCGTATTTTATTAGTTAAAATTCTAAAGTGTAGGCAAATAAATTACTAGATCAGCATCAGGAAAATATGCTATTGTGTTTATAATAGGCATGGAGTATATGGGTGCAAAAATATGTATGGATAGCTATCACATGAGTTTAAGTCAAAGAGTTGAAAGCTATTTAGTTTTTGCAAGTCATAAGCCATGCAAAATATGTAGATCTTTAGCAATTACTCAAAATCGGGTTAAACTAAGGAGTTCTAAAATAACACAGCTAAAAAGCAATTTGTGCACGACGATTAAACTGTAGAATAACAAGCTGATTTTTTAATGCATTGGAGAAAAATAATAAAAGTTCGGGAATTTCTTAAGTGCTATTTAATGCGTTTTTTAAATTTAATGGCTTAATCTTCTAATATTATTAACGGCTTATAGGACAGCACATTAAATTAAAAAGTAATCTTGATTATTCGAAAGAATTTTGCTGCAACATTAAACTGCTTGCTGGTCAACAGCACTCACTTGCTCAAAGCAAATTTATGCTTTTGCAAATTTAACGCGAGTTTGGGCAGCGATATTATCCCTTTTTCAAGGCAGGTTCTTTTTTTGTTTTACTTTTTGTTTGTCAATAATTTTTTTCTGGGTCGTACTGTATCTGTTTTTAACTGGTTGTCATACGTTGTGACGTTAGAGCGTTGCCGGCGCGTCGGTCTAATTTACTCATGGAGTGTATCTACCTTTATGGTGCTAAGCTAGTAAAGGAGATTCAAAAAATCTATGTAAATTTCCTTTCTTCTCGTCTGGAATCAACTTTAACCTCTTTAAAGTGTCAATCCCATGAAAGGTGCAGTATTTGTGTTAGTCAGTACCCATCTGCGTTGTCGATGCAATTTCTAAGATGTCTTAGTTTGGATTTATTTTCCGATTTGTTCTACGAGGTGGACTTGCCTGCATACATGGACTTAGGTTTGTGCGATTTCATGTCTACCCCAAGGAGTATGAATGTGCGGAACACTACATTATAATCTCACAGAATACGTTAGTAATTTCTAATGCAGTGATTTTTACGAGTTTTGAGGCACTTTTAGTAAAGATCTTTTGTGTATCATGATATTCTTGGGAAGCAGGTTCTTATTTTTCGCAGTTATCTGGCATCCACCACCATCACATTACACAGTTTTGTGCTAATCCTTCTTTCCAACATTTGCAGTTGCCATCTGAAGTGTTTCTTCTTGCCAGTCATTTGAGTGCTCCGCCTGTGGTAAACCTCCTTGCTTTTCCTCTGGCTTTCTTCCTCCATCCCATTCTCGGCTCTGCCACTCTTTTGTCGATAAATTTTTCCGAGTGGCTTAATTGTGCATTGAAGTGGTACGTTTCCTTTCTCCTCCCCGCTTTTAGGAGGGGGATGCCTTTAAGGTGGCAGCTAATCTGTAACTAGTTGACTGCATTAATGATTGCTTGCTTTGAAAACAGGGCAATTTGTGGTGAACGTCCATTTTGGTGGGTTAAATCACACAAAAGTGCCAATTTGACGCTAAAGCAATTTGACATTACCTGTGAAACTGGTCCGGGGAGCCCTTCTGGTCATTGTATGGTCTTTGTTGCGGGATGGTTGCCGCTGATTCTTTACATTAAACACAGACGCAAAAAGTGAGAGCCTTCTTCACTACGAGTTTCTTGTCTAAGACATACGTGATAAATCCACCTCTTTTGTGCAGACTCGGTGCTACGCTGTACGCCCTACTCATCATATGCACAATTGTTGTTGGAGTGAGTCGTCTCTACACAGCGACCCACTTTCCTCACCAAGTCATCGAAGGTTCAGTGGCAGGCAAGTCCCTGCCGACTTCTTTTTTTTCAAATTGTTTTACCACACTACCTCTATCAACAACGGCATTATTTTGTGATGCGCTACATTCATTACTAACAGTGTTGCAAGCCATGTCCACGGTTACTTATTCATTTAATTGTCAACGAAATTTCCAATCCG